TCAGCTCCCACCAGTTGGCACCCAGTGTCTGCCGTACATGGCGACCTTTCAGAAGCTGTCTGAGGACCGTCCACCAGAGTTGGACACACCGAGGGCTCACCAGTCATGCGCACCCAACCCCATTTTATCTGCCACCAACACCATGGACAGCTTAGCTGGGATTCTGTCACAAAGCCACACTGGCTTCTTTGGGAGCAGCCATTCATAAGAAGAAGATTGTTGGTGTCAGCTGCCCAGTGGAGCGGCCTGCGGGCTGCACAAGGCAGACTGGGTGGGTGGGTGCTGCATCTGTTTTCTCCAGGGAGTGGCCCTGGGTCCTCACACGCCTGGTGACAGTCATGCCTCTAAAGACAGTGCTGTGAGAGTGACACATGCGAACCTGTGTTTATAGCAGCATAATTCACAACAGTCACATTATGGGACCAGCCCAGGGCCTGTCAACAGGTGAATGGGAAAAGAAACATGAGAGAAAAGAAACATGGAGTTTTATTCGGCCATAAAGAAGAAAGAAACTGTGTCATTTGCTGGAAAATGAATGGAATTGGAGAAAATCACATTAAGTGAAATCAGCCAGACTCAGAAAATCCAGGGTCATATGTTTTCTCTCACATGTGAAAGTTAGAGAGGAAAAAAGGAGGCGGGGGGAATGTGTGTGCGTGCGAGGCCTGTGGAGAGTCCCAGGAAAACAGAAGGGACACCGCAGAGAGACAGCTGGCCTGGAAAGGAGGGGGAGGGCAGGGCGAGGCTGGGAAATGAAACTGACCAGGTTCTGTGCGTAACAAGCCCCACTGTTCCCTCTGACTACAGCGCACTAATTTAAAAACACAAAAGGAGAAAACAAAAAGTGTCAGGGACTGTCACTAAGGGCCCTACCAAAAAGCAGAGTGGACCTCAGTGAACCCTGAGTTAACACCCCAATGCTCCAGACCCCCACACACGGGCAGCTACGGATCTCAGTGAGCTCACAGATCCAACCTGTCCATGACAAGACTCTTCCACCTCTCCAGTCCCTTCTCTCTGTGCCGCCAGCCCAGTCACTGGCCACCCCATCCGTCGGACACTTGGACAGGTGCCTGCTCTCGCCCACCCATCACCCACCCATCAGCAAGTTCAGCCTTTGGCCCTCTGAACTCTCTCAGGTCCATCCTCTTCTATCTCAAGGTCACTATCCTAGTCCAAGTGGCAACTTCTCTCTCCCAATGGAACTTGGATGCCTTCCTAACTGGTCAGCCACTGCCCCTTCCTCTCCAGCCGGTCTCCACTGTACTCTACGGGGATTATTTACAACATAAGTTATGTCACTGCCCTGATGAGAGCCTTCCAATCACTCCTACTAGTCTCAGGACCAAGATCAGTTCCCAGGTGCTGTGTGGCCTGTCCTCTGCCCTTGACTCCCAAGGACTTTAATTGATAAGCTCTGACTTGCCCTTCAGATCTCAGCTCAAAAGTCCCTTCTTCAGAGTCCTTCCAAGACCATGGCTGGTGGCCTGTCCCAACTGCCCTCGGCTTCACACCCTCAGCAGGAGTTCTGTGACTGTTGATGGTATCTTGTCACCACCCCTGCACTGCAAGTTCCAAGAGGGCAGCACCCATGGCCCAGAGGAGTGTAAGGTACAGGGTGGGCCTTGGCACATCTTAGTTCAATAAATAAGTATAAAAATGAAGAAATGCAAACCTGCCCACGGTGAAGACCATCCTGACATTATTATAGAAAACTACGCGGTTCCACATTGTCTTGAACTCGTGACAGCGCACGATCTTGGCTTTGCCGTTGGAACACCAAAGCCAGCAGTGACTGTCCTTTTCTTTCTTGTCTCAAGCTGAAGAGCAATTTCCCCACAGCGGTTAGTTAAACATCTGAGGAAACCACCTGTCGGCTTTTCAATTGGAGGTTTCCCTTTATTCTATTCATCCAAGTTTGGAATCTGTGGAACCCAGAATTGGACTTCCCGAGCAGTTTGTAATTTCTGTCAACTAATGTAGAGTTTCCTTTGCCTCAGACCCTCAACGCAGTCCTGCCCAGCTACATCTGCAGAGCAGCCACCTACCCCCTCCTGATTGTGGGTCTGGAGACAGCGTCCCTGGAGCCTGAGACGTGCCTGCCTCCACTGATTTCACGGAAAGCTCGTCAGGCCTGATTCTAGAAAACCCGGCTCTGGGGCCTGACCAGGTTGATTTGGGATTTCATGGGCCCAGGATTCTGACACGCCCTGTCACAGCAAGAACGGCTCATATTCGCGTGTCCCTTCCCACTTTGGGCACTGCCTTGACATCAGGGATGACCAGCAGAAGCAAAAACAGCATCCTGGGTGTCACAGACGAGGGCCGAATGCACAGGCATCAAAAGCCCTCGCGGGGGCTGGGTCAGGTGTGACATCTGATGTTGGCACGAAAGACTCCGCTCCACTTTGCTCCAAGTGACAGTCTCCACTGTATTTTTTAGAGGCCACTCTATCAAGGCCTGCGTGCAGAGCTATAAATAAGAATCTTCTAGTCATTGTGTACCACAGGCAAAGCCATGAGTAGTGAAAAGAGATGTGGCCTGTGGTTGTAAGGCCCTGGGACACTTGACACCGGGTCATCCACTCTGTGGGTTTTCAGAGTGTGTTGACTGTCCAAAGTCTGGGAGGTGGCACCACATGATAGTAAAAAACTGTCTGGGGACATGCAAACCCTTCAAGTCCCAGCCCAGAAGCCACGTCCCAGGCTCAGCCTCCAACATCTGGAATGTCCTGTGCAGACACCACCTTGGAGCTGAAGCTGAAGGTTTTCCAGATTTTCTGCAGAGTTCCACTTAATCCTGGGGGGAGGGGGGATTTAGGATGGATGCCCTCTGCCTCCCCAGGCTTACCCCCAGGGGATTCCTCCAAAGCCTGCTGTCCAGCCCTCCTCAGGGAGAAAGTGGTGAAGAACAACACACTAATCTCCTGGATCAAAGGGAGGATCAAAATGCAAAAGCTCCCTCTGCAGGAGCAGTGCGTGCTGAGATGACTCCTCAGCCTTTGGCCCAGGCGGTGTTGAAAGAAAGACAGGCGCCCCGCAGTGAGGTCACCAGCCAAAACCTCCTCACACCTGTCCCTTCCCACCACCACGGCGCCCAGCCTTGGCCCCACTGAGCCAAAGGTTCCACTGACCAAAAACGTCCTGCACCCCACATTTCCCGTCTCCCGGTAGGCTTCCCTGTTTCTGCATCTACAAATCTGCTTTTCGTCACCTCCACCGCATTTTCTCTTCCGTGCCTCACTCCGTGACCCCCGCCTCCTCTCCTTTGGCCCAGCTCATCTGTTTCCATGTCAGCGACCACAGATCCCCTGGGAAAGAACACACGGGTAGCTCTGCTTCTTTCTCACAGCGACACAAACAAGCGCATTCCCCCAAACGCTTGTAACCCACCTCCTCGGAGATTTTCCAAAATCCCTTCGATTAAAAATAAGAAACCTTCCCCAGGCTCCGTCATCTTACCTCAGTAGTCTCCCCTTCTACGGGTTCTGAAAGGACTCCCAACTGTTCTACCGGGAACAAAGTATTTGATTGTTGTTTTCTTTGTATTTTTTCATGAATTTCTGACATTATCCTCATCACAATTATTACTTGGCATTGATTTCCATTCTGATCCTTACTTATGAAATCCTCTCTCCCGACGTAAGCACTTCTGTGCTTGCATTTCCTTCAATTAGTGGTTTGATTGTCTGATCTTAAGTTTGTCAGTGTGCAGATCGTTTCCACTGATTTCTGTGTTTCACACTTGGTACCTGCTCCCTTTTCCCTTCATGGGTCTTCAGCATGGTGACCTCACTTGAGGACACAGTGTGTGTGTGAGGGCATCAAGATCACTGTGGTCAGGGGTCAGAATCCTCCCAGAGGCACAGGGTAACTCTGATTGTTCATGCATATGTTCTGTCCTTGAACTGTTCCTGACTTTTCAGGTAAAATCAATGCCCTCAACATCCACACACACGGTCACACACGTGCACACACATGGTTACACACGTGCACATATACATAGTGGCTGTGGAGAAACGGTAATGACTGTTTGAGTGAAGTTCTCAGGAGCTGCTAGTCCACTATTGGGTTCTTCCGTAGTCCAGCCCTTCTAGTCTAAAGCATTCCTGCTGTTAAGATTTTTCATGATCATGCATTTGCAAGGATTCACTTAGCAAACTTAAGGCTGAAATCATAGAACCAGTGAAAAGGGGGTGAAAGGAGCACAGAGCGATGCTCGCTGAGTTGGAAGGCACCATGCAACTTTCTTCAATCTGGCTGCAAAGTCTGGCCTTTGGCTGGAAATTAAATCAGCCTCAATTGGCTGGGCATTAAGTAGGAGGAAGACTGCTGTGCTTGGCTATGGTCACTCATGGTATGTATGAGTCTCTGTCCTGCAGCAACAACAGCAGGGGCCGAAGGTACTCTCTGAGCCCTGGTGGTGGCTGTAAGGATTCTGTCCTATCTCAGTCCCTTCATCACTCAGTGACTACAAGCCTGACTTCCTGGTGATTCAGAAGCATAAATCAGAAGAGGACTCAACATCTAGTTCAGAAAGACAAAAGTAATATAACAAGACCAAAATACAACCAGCCAGAGGCCAAGAAATGTCCATCAGGATGGGCAGCCTTCTCTCCCTGTTCTTCCAGGCACAGGCAGGTTGGCGAAGGCCTCTGCTGCCATGTGTCGTTCACCACTGTGGAAGATTCCCTCAGCCAGAGGAGGAAGGTTCTGGGGAGCACAGGGGCCCCCTAAGGCCATCACCCAGGGAGCTTCGGGTGTCACAGGTGACAGCAGATCCATCTTCAGGGAGGGCCAGGGAGCAGCTGGCTGGACCCAGCCAGGACAAGAGGTGGGCTCTCTGTTTACATAACAAACGGTGACCTCTGCAGAAGACAGACTCACATTTCCTGAAGGTTTTCTATTTGTACCAGATGAACTCAATGTCAGATATGAAAGGGCAGATTTCCAAGGGCGGCTAATACCAGTCTCGTTTGCTATGTAAACAAGGACAGAAGGCATGAGAGCCATAACACCATTCTTCCTTGGGCCCTGCACACGCACGCAGAGCTGCTGCTCCTGGTGTTAATAAAATATTGACTGCGTCACCCCACAAACATGATGGCTCAGAGCAAAGAGGCATTTTTCCAAAAGAGTCTGGCTTCTACCTACTTAATCTTCTGAGGTTCTCTCAGGGAAGCACCTAGTGATCTGAACAGCAGGTAGGATTTAGAAGCCTTTTTCGGGGCTCTGATTACACTGAAATCTTTATTTATTTTTTAACAAATCCTTTAGCTATTTATATGGAGGTGTCCCTGCCGAGGCTTTTCTTAATGTCTATCTAGCTTTTAAAACTACCTAGCATGTAATTGGGAATAAACCATTCCCCCACAAGGAGGGGGGTTCTCAAGAATTCCTCATCCGGGGGCTGGGGCTGTAGCTCAGTGGTAGAGCTCTGGCCTAGCACATGTGAGGCCCTGGGTTTGATCCTCAGCAGCACATAAAAATCAAGACACAAAGTATTCTGTCCGAATGCAAATAAATAAATAAATATAAAAAAGAATTCCTCATCCCCTGAGAAAACTAAGAAAATGAGCATGAGAGGACTCAGCCCTCACCAAAAGTCACCTCAGAAAGTCTGGGAGTTCTGCTGACCTTTCCCAGCAGGGGATTCCCTGATTCCTCTATTAAACCAAGTGTATGAGACATCACAGAAAATGGACTTTCGACTTTCTTCCATCAAGCGTTTCTTCCATTTTTTTCCAGTTAAATATACTCCCCCCCGCCCCCTCCCAATCTCACCTATTTACCATTTGTGACATTTTCCATTGTTCCATGCTTCTCTCAGGCTCCCTTCTGGGCCTTTGGGATGGTGCTTTCAGAATTCTCCACTTCTGCTGGGGTCCCGTGTCCGCTCCTGTGACGATAACTGCATGCTGAGGAGGTGGGGTCCCACGAGCTGAGCTTACCTTTTCCAGGTGTGCTTCCAACAGGAATGTCGAATACCTCAGGTGCTGTTTAGGACCACAACCCACCTGAGGACAAAAACAGGTGACAATAACCAGCTGATCAGACAATGGACTCGGGAGTCTTACAGTGACTAATATGTAAGTACGTTAAGACCTGGGTTTATTTTTTTCTAACTTATTAGGTGCTTACTTTTGTTTTGCTTGCTAATTACCAATCTATAGTTATAGAGCAGGACGGTGGTAGATAATGGAGGTGGTTAAACTCTCGCACAAAAAGCTCAGCTGCTTTTTTACAGGGTGTAGATTATCTGATGCAAAAAAAGAAGCCCAGGCTTTTATCTCTTGTCTCTTTCCCATTTTTATTGTTTTTGGGCTCTTTAATGAAAAAGGTTTCGTTCCTCTCCAAGTCTAGCTCATCCATAATTTAATAATAGTCAAGTCAGAGCTGTCTTAATTGAGAAAACCTCTTTTCTATTTAGATTTCTAATTGCTCCGCAGAATTCCAGTTCTGCATAATTTGAGACTGCTTTTTAAGAGTCCACCAATACCCTACCGTAAGGGTTCTCTAATCACTAATAGTGGGGCACTAAATGTCAACTGTTCATCTAGTAATTTATGTTCTTTACTTCACAGATTTCCTTAATTGCTTTTAACATAAATCTGAGAAAGAGTGATTAAAGTATTGCAGTCTCGGGAAGATTTAGCATTAGTCTGCAAACTCTTCTGAGAGAATGTTAAGTGCTCAGCTCTCAGGAAAGAGGCCGCGGGTTAGACACAGTGCCCTGTGTCCTGGAGGAGAGTCTGATGGCTGAAACTGCAGCCCAGGTGGGACATGCCGTCTCAGAAGTGCCCCTCTGACTCCTAGGAATGAGTGTTCCCAAGCAAGCACCAAGTCACTCCCTCGGCCTTTCCGGTGGGTCATGCCAATGATAATGTTCTATCCCTTTCTGCTTTACTTTTTATGTTGTTTTGCAGTGCTGGGGATGGAACCCAAGACCTCACACATGCTAGGCAAGCACTCCTCCAAGGAGCTACACCCTAATCCTTTCTTTGATTTAGAGATAGCATCTGCCAAACTTGCCCAGGCTGGCCTCCAACGTGGGATCCTCCTGCCTCAGCCTCCAGAACTGCTGAGATTACAGGTGTGTGACACTCTGCCTGGATTTTTCTGCCTTAATTTTAAAGACACTAAACATCCCAAGAATGGATACTCCTCAGTTTCTCCTGGGACTTTTACCATAAAGCACTGTAAATGTTGAAAACATCTCCTGAGAACAGGAGAGACAGGATCTTTGGACTCTAACATAGTTAACAACAACTGTGTTGTGCCTACGTTGTGAAGACTTCTTTTCTGAGAACATGTTGTCTGCCCTGATCTTGTTGTCTGTCCTCTTGCAGGATCATACAAGAAATAGTAGGGTCATGGCATAGAGTAGTTGAGTCTTTATAACTGTCCTTTTTTCCAGAAAATGAGTCAAGTCTATGTTTTAAAACATCCTAGGATAACAGCTCATAATGCAGTTGGACAAAGAAAGAATGAATGAATTGGAGAAATAAAAACAAATATCATGCACAGCAACTGTTCAGGCAACTTTCTGTTACTGTAACAAAAAACCTGAGATCACCAAATTATAAGAATGAAAGGTTTATTTGACTCAGTTTTAGATATTTCAGCCCCTGCATGGCTGGCCTCTTGCTTTGGGGCCTGTGGTGAGACAGGACACTGTGGCAGAAGTCCATGGGAGAAGCAGCTACTAATTTTATGGCTGTTGGGAAGCAAAAGAGAGAGGAAGAGGCTGAAGTCCCGACATCCCCTTTAGGGGCATGCCACTAGTGTCCTCAATTTCTCTCCCTACGTCCTGCCTCTCAAGGATCCACCATCTCCCAGGAGTACTCCAGGCTGGTGACCAAGTCTTTAGCACATGGGTGTTTGGGGGACAGTCATCCAAACCAGAGCTGTCTGAATATGCCCCGAACCTCTTCAAAACCGCCATCCTCCAACCAGAGAGTAATCAAGCAGGAAAAAAAAAACCTCAGAGCCTTCACTGTCAGATGCCATCCGCACCGAGGGGGACACACTCCACTGTGGGTACGGAACCTGGAACTGACCCTGAGGCTGCCATCTCCCCTGGTTGCCTCTGCCTGTGGACCAGGCTCTGTCCTCAGGACAGTGCCACTGAACACGCATGGGTCGGACAGGTGAAGAGCTTCCCGGGCCCTGCTCACTCCAGAATCCAGTCCCTTTACACACCGGCCAGAGCCCCTCCTCAGGCTTTAGTCTGCAGAGCCCACCTGCACAGACAGGGCTGACTCTCCAGGCCTGTGGCATCACCTCCAGCTACTCAGAACATCTACCTCATGAGGTCTTCGTATCCCCAGGGCTGTGGGCCACAGTGGAGAGCCCGTGCCAACAAGGTGATTGTACTAGGGTGGAGACATGAAGCCAGGCCATATCAGGGGACCTTGAAGGGCTGGAGACTCTGTGGTCAGTAGATGGTTTGAGAGGAGACTCTACACCCATTCCCCACCAGCTGTGCCCATGGGGCTGACTGCTGAGCTTTCTGTCCTTGATGACCAGGGGTAGCACTTTTGACATCCATCAATATGCCCTTCCTCTGGGGAGGGGGTACCCCTCACAGTCTCTGCTCTTTCTGTCTTTATCACAGACCTTACCTGGATGTGCGTCCACAGTGTATTTGAAATCCTACAGTACTCCTGATTGTCCAAGACTTTTTGGTTTGCTCAATGTTTACCTACAAGAGAATTTTAGCGGTACTTTGCCAAACCTCCCCTCTCCTCCCCCCAGGATTTTGATGAGAAGTTCATCTTAGTCACAGTTTCTTGCCATTTGTCCACGTCTTCTTTGAGGAGTGTCTGCCAAGGTGTGTAGTGCTCTTCAGGAAAGCCCTTTTCATTTTCTTCTAGATTGTTATTTACTGGCATGGCATTCTCCACCAGGAGCATCTGGGTTTTTAACCCGTTCTGCTGTGACCAGCATCCAGTTATATTTACATGTAACATAAAAACCACCACCCATTCCTGCTTTTAGACCTTCTGCATCAGCAGTCAACCCTCCAGGAAGTGCCTACCATTTGCTGAGACTCTCGGGCCAGGAGCAACATCAAATACTTAAAAATTGCTCCAAGGACACACTCCATGCAGGCTGAAAATCCCTGTTATCTTACCCTCAAGCCCCAAGAGCTACTATGACATACATGAGTCCTCCTTAAAAGTAATCCAGGAAGCACAGTCCCGTGTGACAGTGCCAGCGTGTCACGGGCCATCCACGGCTGCCTTCACCTTTGTGGATCCTGCATCTCTCACCCTAAAGCTCCAACCAGAAATGACAGGAAGACCTCACCAGGTTTTTCAGAAGTGACCACATGCAGCCCTTCGTCATCATGATGTAAGTGTCTCTGGTTTAGCCTGTTGATTGGTGGATTGCACTAACTGTTGGTAACCTGCTGAGCCAGCCTTGCACACCTGCAATGAACCCCACTGGGTGTGACATATTTCCCTTCTATATAACATTGGACTTGCTAGTATTTGTGGAAGGGTATTTGCATCAATGTTTGTAAGAAGTGCTGGTCTGTAGTTTTCCCGTCTTGTACTGTCTTCGTGTGCTTTGGGTGTCGGGGTGATGCTGGCCTCGTGACTCAGGGTGGTATTCCCTCTGCTTTATTCTCTGCGACATATTGTAGAAAATTATCATCATTTCTTCCTCAAATGTCTGTTACAATCTGCCTGTGTACCCACCAGAGACTGGTGTCTACTGTTTTGGAAGGTTATTAATTATTGATTCATCCCTTTTAATAGATATGAGCCCATTCAGATGATCTGTTTCTTCTTGTGTGAGTTTTAAAAGATTGTGTCTTTCAAGGAATTGGTCATTATATATGTCATAAAATTTTTGGACATAGGATTGTTCAAAATATTCCTTCCTTGTCCTTTTAAAGTCCATCTGGTAGATAATGAGGATCCCTCTTTCATCTTTGATATTCTCTTTCTCAGTCTAGATTAAGGAATGTTCACATTAGTTCTATGGAGCAGCGAGCCAGACATATCTGCAATGACACCCTTCATTTGTGGCAGTTCCAGCTCCCTCCTCCGTCCCCTGAAGCCTGTGGTTCTGCTCTTTAGAACACACCTGAGAAATGGCTCAGCCTCTGACTCCCTGAGGTATTACCCATCTTCTTCCCTCTCAACTGTGCGCTGAGGCAAATTCTCTACTGAAAGGTAGCATCTTAATTTCTGTGCAAACTAGCAGAAAACAAAGCTAATACGTCACACTCATGAGAACAGTCTGTGGTTTTGTGACTTCAGGACTTGGGCAAAGTCGAGAGAGGGGCTTCCGACTGAGCAGCAGAACCACCACAATATCCTCGGCTTTGAAAGCTGAAAAATAATCAGGGTAGAAGGGAGTATCCTGGGTAGAAAGTTGAACTAGCTCCCTCCCGGATGATGAAAGACAGGGCCAAACTTGAGAGTGCAGGAAGGTATCAAGAAGCTGGCTGGTAGATGTTCCCTTCCCACTGACCCCTGTAAGCAGACACAGGAACCGGCAGAATGCAAGACCCCACACAGTCCCAAGAGGCTTGCAGTCACCTCTCTTGTCCCTTGAATCTGTTTTTATTCCAAAGATAAAGCTATGGCATGAAGTGAGATCACCAAGTGCCTGAAATAATTTAAATCTCTATTAGTAACACATAGTTCATATATTACTGGTACATATATGGGAAGAGCCACATGAGACTTTTACGGAATGGATCACATTTCATCAGTGTTGTAAGGATTTCATTGATTTGATCATACTACATGAGAACAATATAATGCCTATCTAGCAAAATAAAATCTGAGTACATGGATCAAATACATGAACTAATCATTGCCTTACAAATCTTAACATTTACACATAGTGAAAGCTTCTAACATCATTCGTTTCCAGCCATTATCAAAAAGTGACGCTAATATATTTGAAGGGTATTCAATTCTTGAACTTCCTCAGACTTCCACATTTTTCCACCTTGGATCAAAATAGGTACATACATCGTGAATCTCAGTGACAGGGTGACACGTCGTCATCACATCAGGTAGACTTTGTATCTAGTGTGGCACAGGCTGGTCTAGAGCTCCTGGACTCACGTGGCCCTCCCACCACAACCTTCCCAGTGCTGGGCTCACAGGTGTGCCCCCAACCTGACTTGCCACGACCCGCGACTGATCAGGTTCACTCCATGGGAACTGGGCTGACGACCATACAAACACAGAAAAAATACCTTTTCTGGGGTGCAGTGACAGCTCCTCAGCCTCCACTCCCAAAAGGGAGGCAAAAGAAAAGCAAGAGAGAGAGCGCGCCCCAGCCCTGGATTTTACTGGGGAACGCTGTTGGATAGAACATTCCATCCAAATAAGGCCAAGGGGTGAGATCACAAGAGAACAAGGGGTCCGGTTTCAGAGGATGGAGTCTTGCTTGGCGCTGTCTTGGTCGGCAGTTTGACTGACATCTTGGAGAGTGACACCCATCTCAGTTGCTCCAGGGGATCAAAGGCAGAGTTGCCCAGCCCAATCAGGCAGCAAGGCAGACCAGTTCCTTACACGCTCAAAGGCACAAAGCTCACGCACACAGTCCTGGCTGGCTCACAACACTGACTTGTCACATAATCATTCATATGTTTTCAGAATGATTTAAAGACTTTGCCAGCTTCTTAAAACTTCTCAGTGAGAGTGAGTCTTCTCAGTAAAGAGTGACTTTTTGTTAATGGTTGCAAATGAATGGTACAGGAAGCTTTCACTATGTGTAAATAAATATCTTTATTTCTGACTCTTGGAAAATGTTAAGGCTCAAAGAGTTTAAGTAAATTTTCCAAGGATCCCAGAGGTGCTGAGAACCAGAGTGAGAATCCTGCAAACTTTTCCTTTCTGGAACCTGCGTGACAACATGTTTCTCTCTACCCTTTAATGCTGAAATACAGCTACAAGCCGGGACATGTTTACTGAAATACAGTGAAGAATACTACTTTGCCGAGGGTCAAAGGATACAGGAAAAATCTGTAAGTTAAGCTGATGCAATTCACTCATTTATCAATGAGGAAATTAAAACCAACATGGATGAATTTCTTGTCTAGTCTCCCAACACCAACCAAAGCCTTATCTACTATATTTTGCTGATATTTGTACCAATGTCTTAAAATATGAGTTATTATGAAATACACTCTCTATCACTTCCCTAATTCACACACTGTTGGTTATTTGAAAACCAATTCTCTAGTTGATATACTGTTCAAGGCTCTGAAACCACTAACAGTGCTTTGGCTTTTTAACAAGACCTTCTTACCGGCAGTGGGAAGGCAAGTTAGGAGATGTTCAGTAGAGAAAACGGATTCTGTCTGTAGCCTCCATCTTCACCAGGAATGAAGAGTTTATAAAGTTACCAGAAAAGCAAGACAATGGCCTACTATGAATTAAAAGAGGTCCTTTTAAAAAAATAAAAGTTATGAATATTTTACTGCAGAATTTAACATGTGAAGGGAATTCTGACTTTTCATTTTGAGACAAGGTCTTGCTGGCTTGCTCAGGGCCTCACTAAGACTCTGAGGCTGCCTATGAACTTGCAGTCCTCCTGCCTCAACCTCCAGTGTTGCTGGGATCACAGGCGTGCACCATCACGCCTGGCTGGTTACTATTTTCTACAAAACATTTTTAACTTATGTCATCTCTCAGGGACAAGACATGACCTGAGAAGAGCTGTCACCAGTGAGGGCAGGGGCGCAGAGAAGTGGGGCACCACCAGCCCAGCTGCTGCGGTGTCCAGGAGCAAGCCTGTGTGAGCAGCAGGGGAAGAGCCGGTGGCAAATCCGTGGGCTTGTCAAACTCGAATCTTGTCCCCACCACTTCTAACCACATGACTTTGGACCTTAGTTTCCACATCTCAAAATGGGAATAGGGACCTCGCAGGGTTGTTTTGATTATTAAGTAAGAAAAGGTGTGTCAAGTACAAATAAATATTAGTGCCTGTCCCTCATGGTAATGGTATTTTTGATGGGGAAATACTAGGGTGGTTATGGGACAAAGGGACAGTCTGAAGTCCAGGCTGTTGGGGAATACTGGCGCCTCTAGCTGCCCTCTCAGCTTTCTCCTTTCTCTGCTCATAATCCCTCTCTGTAACTATGACAGCCTGACTGCTTTGCATAACTTCAGACTGTACCTATCTCTCTGTATTCTCTGCTTATTAAAGAGTAATCTGTTGCAACTGTCAATCATCCTACAACAGGTCCAGCACGTGCCATCTGGGACACAGACCATACAAAAACTCTCTCCATGAAACTGTGAGCACATCCAGTCATTCAAACCACATTCCCATGACCGTCCTCCTAAATGCTCTGGCTGTGCTGCTGGAACATGCAACTCTGAAACACAGGCTCAAAACCCTGCTTAGAAAACCTGTACCGCTGGGTTTGCACAAAACGAGATCTATGGGTGCTGCACCCTTGCACTTTAAAATCCTCAACAGCTGGCTGAAGGAAGCACACCCAGAAGTAATTTGCATTTAGCTCCTGAATAAGCTTTACAATCAAAAGTAATTTGGTTGAAGCATATTGAAGCACCTTGCGTTTGCAGTGGGTGGGGGTTGATTTAGTCACAGGCCCGCGCTGCATGCACTGCTTATGCCGTGATTCCCAACAATCCCAAGTGCAAACGAGGGCTCCATTTTCTTGGTGTTCTGGCACGCTGCTCGTTTTTATTTTCAAGATGCCGAGAGTTGGAGGGTGTGCTGTCTCTGATTGCTGGCTCATGGGTGAGTAAGGTTTTTCTTTTGACTATTAGTACTGCAAAGGTCACCATTTATCAATAAGAATGAAGTCCTGCCACGATGTCATCATAGGTCAGTGCCATGAAGACCTCACCTAGGATGTCACTGAAGAAGCCAGGTGAATTTTTCTGCAGCCCTTACTGCAGAGACCCCATGGTTCATCTGCCACCGAGAAGCCCACGGAGGAGACTCTTCAGGAAGGAGGGAGTGGCTGACAGCGTCAGAGGCTGATGGCAGGCCAGTAGGGTGAGGGCCACTGAAGGCCACCACTCAGCAGCACATGCTTATCAAGCACAAGGGTGAAACACCTTCCTGAATTGCTACCGCCCTGCACTCCCCGGGTGAGGCCTGAGTGGGAACAGAATGCACGGACAGACACAGGATGTTAATGATCCCAACCACAGAGTGGTGTTAGCATCGGCATATCAGAGAGAACATTCCACCTTGGACTTGGGTCTGGTTTATTTCACTTAGCATGATAGTCTCTCCAGTTCCATCCATTTACCGGCAAATGCCATAATTTCATTCTTCTTTGTGAAATACTGACAGACTCTTAAAATCAGGCTTTCTGCAAGTGTCCAGGCTGTAGCTAGATGGGGTGATGCTCCGTGTGCAGGCCCCTAGCCTGGCTGCACAAAGCTGGGAGGCTTCTTTAAAAACACACATCAGAATCCCAGCCCCAGAAGACTTGAAATAAGTAGATCAAAAGAGTCTGGGCAACCAATGAGATAAAGATCCCACGGTTATCCTGAGGCAGTGGCAGGAGGCGCAGGCCCCAGAGGTCTGGCTCACCTCCCATTCTTCCAGGTCTCGGCATTTCCACTGTGCGCGGGTCACTGCTGCTGAGCCTGTTTCCCTCCTTAGCCGATGAAGAGAATGGCAGCTGCCCATTCGATGGCTGAATGGGATTGAAGGGATCCTGTTTGCGAACATGCATATGAATAAATCCACCCCCACTGCAGACGCAAGAGACTTCAACACACTTCGTACCAAATCACTTTGGTTCAAAAGCTTCATTTCCTGATCTTCGTCCCTTCTGGTCCTGTCTCATGTCCCTTCTCATAGGCTCCTCCTTCTCTGCCCGCCATGGCACGCAGCTCACCAAGACTCAGTCCCAGAGCCGGCTCTTGTCACCCCGAAGGTTCCTCACATCAGTGTTGAACAACACGCTGACGATTCCACTTTTAAATCTCAAACCTGGACCTCACCTCTGAGCCCAAGATTTAGCACTTGCCCATTTGCTCAGCATGTCCAGGAAGGTGACCCAGAGTCTCGGGTTGCTTGTGCATGGCTCTTTGCCAACGGGGAACCCCCAACCTTTCTCCCTTAACCTGATCCTTGTCTCATGCTCCCCAGCCTCATGAGTGGTAGGAACCACCGTCCACCCAATGGAGAATACAGACACCTAGGAGTTCTCCCTAACAACTCTGCCTTCCCCATTCAACCTAGTCTACCCTATTTCCATCCATTTTACCTCCTCAGTATCTCTCCAACATATCCGCCAGATTCCCCAGGACCATGGCGGACACCCTCGTCCAAGCTCCAGTCTGCTCATCTCTGGCAATGGCCTCTGAAGCCTCTCCATGGACTGCAGCCCCTCCCGTCCATTCCCCACACTGCAGCCCTTACAGTGGCCCCAGTGATCCCCACCCCCTGGTATCCACACTCTGGTAGAATCTCCTCTCGTGTGTGACTTGCATCACGTGACCTGCTTCTATGAACAGAATGTGGCGAAAGTGATGGGCTGTCCCACTCACATGAGGCTGCGGGAAGACTGCTCTGTCTCTTCTCTTTCCCTGCCCACCTCCTCCCCTTGCCTTCCACGCCCCGGGGGCAATCCGTTTCCATGTCATGAGCAGCCCCATGGAGAGGTCCAGGGACAACAGATGTCTCCACCCACAGCCACGTGAGTGAGCTTAGGTGCGGCCCTCTTGTAGCCAAGCCCTGAGATGCCTGCAGCCCCCCTGATATCTGGTTGCCCTTTGGGAGACCCAGAGACAGGGAGTCAGCCACGTCATGACCAGATTTTTGACCCACATAACTGTGAGGAAATGCTGTGAGTTGCTTTATGGCACTGTGTCTGGGGGTCATTTGTTATGCAGCAAGAGACAACCGATACAGCTTCCAGCCATCCTCCGCTGTGCTTCAAAACCACCCATTCTTAAGACCGAAACCCCTGACACCTAAGGATCTTTCTGACCTGACCTCTCTGACCTCTGCTCTGCTCTTGGCACGAGGTTCTCCTGCTTTTAGGGTCCCAGGGTCTCACATTTTTTCAGGTCCTCGAGGAAGCTCTACTTCCTCTGCACGCAGGACATTTGCACAGGCCCCCTTCGGCTTCCTGTGACTCGGAGCAGAAGTTTCTCTGCCCCAGGGAAGCCTTCCCCGAGTCCGTGGTCCAGGCTGAGCTCCACCGTGGCTGCTCTTGTGGTGACACCCGTTTCTTGACTTTACAGTGTGGGGTTGCTGACTTCAGTGTGCGACTGCCCGCTTGTGTTGGGGCCTGTTTCACTAGGCCTAGCTCCCTCACTAGATGGTAAACGCCAAAGAACAGGGAACACGTGGAGGGGACCATGACTATCACCACCGTCTCCCTGAACCTGGCCCGTCAGAACTTCTTGAAACATATCTGGTAAAGTCGAGTGGGTCCCGGCCTTCTGTGGAGATGCTCTCCCCCGGTGCCCAGTCCAGGCTCCCACACTTCCTCTAGAGGCACTTCCAAGGACTCAGGTGAGATCGGAGGGGCCGAGCCCAGCCCCTCAGAGCGGTGTGAGCCTCGGCAAAAGAGCTGCCTTTTATTCCAAGTGCACCGAGGGCCTTCTCTGGGTCTGCACCCTGCTGAGGGTGGGAATCCAGAGGTGAGGCCAACAGACCCAGGCCCTCCCTTCACAGAGATTACGGACTGGAGGGAGGGAAAGAGGCCAATCAAGTTGTCACATTCATTAAAACAGGGCAGTGACAAGGAGCTATGAGGACGTGTTGAGCAGGAGATGAGCTAATGCAGGGACACGAGATACCCCTCTCCTAGGTGACCCTAGTCCCAGAACAAAGCCAATGAGCTGCACCTTTCACAAGGCTCAGGATGCAGGTGCTCATGTCTCAGGACCAGCTGCGGCTTCAGGACCACAGTTTCCCTCTCCCTCACTCCTCCCTCTGCAGCATCCACAAACGCTGGGACGATTAACCTGCTGTGTCATAGGCAGGGCTCGGTCCTCCTCCATGACTTCACCCAGAGTTCTTAAAATAATACAAAGAGAGAAAAGCACGGACAGTCATGCCCTGCATGATGACACTGCCGTCAAGGATGGACCGTGCAAGTGACGGTGACCCTGTAAGATTACAAAGGAATGAAAATCCTGATGGCCCAGGAACCCCTTAGCTGTCACTAGATGATCACTTGTTTGTGGGGAAGCTGGTGTAAACAAACCCCTGTGCTGTAGTCACAGGAAAATACAGCTCACACCATCAGGCACAGTGCATGACACTTAATGATAACGCATGTCATCGGTTTATGTATTTTCCATGCTATGCTTTTATCAATGTATTAGAATGCACTCCTTCTACTTATTTTTTTTTAAAAAAGAGTTTACTGAAAAATTCAGGGTTGTGTCATTGGCAGCAGCTTCCTGTCTCTGGTGTTGACTGTCCTCTTCACTGCCTCATTTTCTGTTATCTTGTGTTTTTCTGTTTGTAGTGGCCCCGGGGCGACGGGCTGGATCTCAGGTAGCCTCCATGTCCGGCAGACTGGACCCTCCAGGATAAAGTAAGCACTCACTGTGGGCACAAGAGGGGACCGCCTGAGGATGTGGTTCTCAGAACTGCTCCTGGCATGAAGCCAGCCTGACCGTACAGTGGGACAAGACCCAGCCTTCACTGCCCAGCCTGCAAGGGGCACATCGGAGGGGCCCCAGGGGGTCACTTTCTCAAAGCTAATAATCCAAAACCCAGTTGTGGGAAAATTTTCCACCCATTTTATAAAACTGGACAGACAAAATCTGCCAATAATAATAATAATAATAATCTACAACAAAAAAGTCTTTAGGTACTTGTTCTATTAAATTACTATAGTACAGTAAAAATGGCTTCACTTCTGCTGATAAGAAAAGTAGAAAAATATTTCTCATTCAAAGGTAATAAGTACAGAAGTCGAGCCACTGTAATGTGAAAGTGTGTGTGTGTGTGTGTGTGTGTTTTAAGTACCACCTAAAAAGGGAAACAACACAGCTTCTCTTGGATGAGCTACCATGACCTCTCGCCTGGACAGCAGCTTCCCTCAGAAATGCTGAGCCTCTGGTTTCCAGCCTCCAGGGCGGTCCAGAGACTGCAGCCAGGAGAAGCCCCCGTGTGAGGAAGCACAGAGCCACAGAGGGGGCAGGAAGGGGAAGGGGGCGTGTCAGCAAGGACAGCAATCTCTAAGGAACCTGGCTGCGCCAGAGTGACAGCGGCCCGGGAGGATGGGTCCCCTTGCTCAGGCGTCCGTTTCTTTTAATCCCAGCGCCCACGAGGGTCCTCCCAGGAGCTGCCCACCCTGCACCTGCCCAGCGCCAGCTTCTGCGGCGGCTCCTCCCAGGGCAGCGCCTGTCCCCAGCCGTCGCGGAGTCTGCCCTGAGGACCAGCGGCCACCTCCCCGCTGGCGGCCTGGGCCAGGAGCACCCCGCAGGAGTGCGCAGGACTGACTGCCAGGAACCGCCCCTGCCCCAACCCTCGGGATTCGGGATTCGGAAAGGTACAGAAGCTCCCTCGGCTTCCCCACCTGCCGCCGGGCGAGTGCGCTCCTGGGGCGCAGGGCGGGCGCACAGCGCCACCTGGCGGAGCCCCCCCCCCCCCCCCCCCCGCCCCGCGTCACCCTGTCCCTGGCCAGAAGTCGCAGACCTTGGCTTCTTGCTCCTTCTCAATCTGTCCCAAGACACCAGGGGAATCCTAATCCATTTTTTCAGTGTTTGGATAAATTGCATTTATCTTCTAATAAAATGGCACCTAACTTCCGAGATACACCCTGTTTCCAGCACTCGCAGGCGGCACATCGACACCTTCCTCTGGCTGCGTGCAAGGTCACCTTGTCCCAGACAGTGTTCCCCATCAGGAGGGTGAGACCTCATGTCCAGGTAAGAAGATCCACCCAAGAAGACGGCAAAGAGGGCCAAGTTGTCCCCAAACCACCCTCATCCTCAGGTCAGAAATACATGTTAAAGTTAGAGGAGATGCTTTTGGCCAAAGGTCTAAGGTGCACCCTAAGGCCAGTCCAAAAGGGACTGCATCTCCAGGTGTGCCTGGCGGGGTAGACCACACTGCCCTGTGTTGCTCTCTCCTTCCTCTAACCCTAGGCGTTTTTACACCTGTATGAAGCCTCATGTCTAACTGGACAAGCAGAAGCTTTGTTACCAGCCAGACTCTCCTCTGTAGAGTTAGTAGGTTCAGGATATTGGGGGTCACTTCTGGAGAGTCCTCAAATCCACTACTCAAATTCAGATTGAGAATCATCTTCCATGAAACAGCATAACTACCACATAATTGTCAATGGTGACGTTACACACAAATGTCATTAAATTAGCAAGTCCAATTAAATTCACAAAATTCTTTTATATCGTAGTAAAATGTAGTCATCCATCAGTGTTCAAATGGGAATGCTTCCAGGACTCCCAAGGACACCAAAATCCATGGATGCTCCAGTCCCTTACATAAAATATTTGCATATAACCTACACATATCAAACAATATATTTTAAATAATCTATTCTACCTAAAACAGTGCAAATACTATGCACATAGTTGTTATGCTGTCCTCTTTAGAAAAAAAAATGACAAGAAAAAACAGTCTGCATTTGTTTAGTACAGGAACCGCCATGTCCATCACAGGCCTAACTGACCACACAGGCCACAAATAAAACGCAGGAGAGAGACACAGATCTGTGAAATGGCGGGAAGCCAGGGCAGGACATGCCTTCCCCTCACTCCCTTCCATGTATTCAGGGGAGTGCCTGCCTGGTTTGTCTGAAATCCAAGCTTTGCTTTTTTAAACTTTGTGGAATTTTTTTTCATATACTTTCCACCTCCAGTTGGTTGGATCTGTGGATGCAAAAACTGCAGGCTCTGCCAGGACCAGAGGGATGACTGTGTGTGTAACATAGAACTCTCCACTGTCACCATTGTTAAGTGTACGTTTTAGTGGCATTACACACAGGCACTGATATGCAACCACCACCATCATCAATATCCCGACCTTTTTAACTATCCAAATGAACTCTGTCCCCATTGAACACCAGCTCCTCCTTTCCCCTCCCCTAGCCCCCTGGTAGCCTCTCTCCTATTTCTGGGTTATAAATTAACCACCCTAGGTGTCTCTTATAAGTTGAATGATAAAATAGATATCCTTTGGTGACTGGCTCAGTACACTCAGTACAGCACCATCAGTATGGACCCGTGTTGTTGCGTGTCAGAGCTGCCTTCATCTTAGGGCTGAACAACTTCCCGGTGTGTGCACATACTGCATGATGCTTATCTCTCCACCCATTGATGGGTACCCGGGCTGCAGTCACCTTTTGACTACTCAAATAATGCGGCTGTGAACATGGATGGACAAACATCTGTTCTACTCCCTGCTTTCAGTTCTTCTGGAAATGTACCCAGAAGGGGAATCAGAAAGATAATTACATATTTAATTTTTGAGGAACCACCAAACTGTATTCCACAGTGGCCCCACTATTTCACATCCCCACCAACAGTGCACAGGAGTTCCAATCTCTCCACATCTCTCTCAGCATTTATCTCCCCTATTTATCCCTGATAACAGGCATCTTAATCACAGCAGAAATGCATCTAATTATGGTTTTGATTTGCACTTATCTAATAGTGATGTTAAGCATTGTTTCATGTGCTTATCATCCATGGGTGTAACTTTTTTGAAAAAAAAATGTCTATTCAAGTCTTTGCCCATTTTTCAATTGAGTTTTTGGTTTCTGAATTATGTTTTACAAGTTTTCTATATATTCTAGATATTAATTTCTTAGATACATGAGTTGCCAATATTTCTCCCATCCTGTGGGTTGTCTTTCTATTCTGTTGATAGTCTTTCGATATACAAACATTTTTAATTTTGATGAATCCAGTTTATTTATATTTTTCCCCTTGTGGTCTGTGCCTTTGAGGTCATATCAAGAAATCACTGCCAAATGCAACATCATGAAGATTTTGCCCTGTTCTCTTCTAGGAGTCTTATGGTATTTAGGTCTTTGATTCATTTTGAGTTAATTTTTGCATAAAGTGTAAGGTAAGAATCCAATTTCATTCTTTGCCTGTGGCCATCCACTTTTCCCACCACTATTTGTTGAAAAGACTGTCTTTCCCTGCATTGGATGGTCCTGGTGGGTGCCTTTTGCCAAATCATTTGACCTTCAAGTGAGGGATTCTTTCTGGATTTTTCTTAGTTCTGATATTCCATCAGTCTACTTGTCTGTCTTTATGCCAGTACCACACTATTTTGACTCCCATAGCTTTGTGATAAGTTTTTTTTAAATATATTTTAGTTATACATGGACACAGTATCTTTATTTTATTTATTTATTTTTATGTGGTGCTGAGGATCGAACCCAGAGTCTCACATGTGCGAGGCGAGCGCTCTACCACTGAGCCACAACCCCAGCCCTGTAATAAGTTTTGAAGTTAAAAAATGCAAAACCTCCAACTTTGTTCTTCTTTCTGGGTGATTTTGGCTATTCCACAAGGCAAACCAAATGAATGGAAATATAAGAAAAGAACTAAATATACACTTTGAAACTACAAACTACAATTGCTGAAATAAAAGATTCACAGGAAGAGCTCAGTAGTGGAACTGAGATGCCTAAAGGGTCATAAGTTCAAAGAACAACAGAAATTATCGAGATATGAACAACAGAGAAGAAATGATAGAAGAAAACAAACAAAACCTCCAACCTGAACAGTAACATGAAAAGGCTTAACATTCATCAGTGAGACCCATGCACCAAGTTAGCAATGGAGAGATGGAGACATAGACCTATAACAGCCTTATAGGTACACATTTATAAGCAATATATTTGAAAAAATAAAGACTGACAACCTCTGAATTTGGCAAAGAAAGCTTATAGACTCAATAAGCTAAGCAAAACGTTAAATTCAAATGAATCCACATTTAGACACATTGTGATAAAATTGTGAAAGATTAAAACCAACAAAAATTCCTTAAAAGAATCAGAGAAGCCTGGTGCAGTGGCACACACCTGTAATCCCAGCAGTTCAGGAGTCTGAGGCAAGAGGATCGTGAGTTCAAAGCCAGCCTCAGCAATGGCGAGGTGCTAAGCAACTCGGTGAGATCCTATCTCTAAATAAAATATAAAATAGGGCTGGGTATGTGGCTCAGTGGTTAAGTGCCCCTGAGGTCAATCCCTGGTACTAAAAAATAGAAATAAAAAAAGAATCAGAGAATAATAGTACACTTCATGCAAGAAAGTACTGATCTGAATGACTATGAACTCCTCATCAGAATCTATAGAGACCAAAAGAAAATGGCATAATTTAAAGTGGCTAAGTAAATAAACAAATGTCAACCCAGAATTCTATATCCAGTTAAAATATTTCTTTTATGAGGTAAAATAAAGACAATTTCTCATGAATAGATCTATCACCAGAAGACAGACATGCTGAATGATATTAGAGAGAAACTTGGATCAT